ATTCATTACAGTCGTATCTGAAAATCATTTTATTACTTTGATTAGGTTTTTGGTTTATTGGTTGGTAAGATGAGTCGATCTGGAGAAGCAATTGTAAGAGCAACTTGCTCATCGGCCTTGGGCTTGTTATTAAAATCTTCCAATTTGCTATCATGGCGAGCAGCTCGAATTGATCCCGCAGACTTGGCTAGAAGCTAGCTCATAGATTAGCTATCTTAAAACTCTTGATGCATTCAAACATAACACTCTTGATTGCTCGCTGGAGGTTGAAGGTTTCCAGCAAGAACAAGATGACGATCATCACACGCCTTTGACGACATGGATGGATTCGGTGGCAATCTGGGCACATCACCATTGTAAAGTTTGTAATTTGGACTGTAATTTTGTGTCTTCTTGTCTGCGGGGTCAGTTGTATATATGATTTTCTTTGAAATCATGTATATTCTGTTTGTGCATTTGAACTTGGGGATGCAAAATTTGAGAGTGAGTGATTCTTTGAGTTCTAACTTTTAAGGAAAGTGTTGTTTCTAAGCAATTTAAAAATGACAAGGTTTTGATGTTCGATTGTTGGAATTCTTTTTATCTCATTTGGAAGGATATCCCTAAACTCTTCCAATACCACATTGTTTTGTGTTTCGTCACCAAGATTCTCTATCATTGTATTCAATGATGGTTATTAATGTAATCAAACTAGCCTTCTGAAACTTTGGTTGAGCTCATTAATAAACTCATAATCTATCAGACCAATTGGGCGGGGTTTGAAAAGTGTCTCAACCCAATGCGCGAATGCTCTTTCGATAAATAAACTAAAGGCTTAAAAGTCATTTTATTTGATAAATAAGTCATAGGTTATAAATTATTTTTTATTCCTAAACTTTCAATTTTATAACAATTTAGTTTTAAAATTTTAGTATGTCATTCTACTATAGTAGCTGGGATTGATTTTCTTTCCCTTCTAGCAATTTGGCTTCCTTTCATGGAAATTGGATCGTGATGATGTTGATTTAATTGGATTGCTGCTTATGTGGTACATGTATATCAACTGGAAGAACAATAAAATTAGCTACCCAATCAAAATCAAACCATAAAATTTGTTGCTAAACTCCATATTATGCATCTTTATATTATAAATTATATGATATTGTAAAAATAAAAATTATACATATGTTTTTAAACATAGAATTACTTGTTCATAAGGTTATGAACATATGCATGAGAATAAGGCAAGGCCACCAATTTGGGAGGGTGGTGCACCAGCTACCCGTTGGAGTGATGACATTGATCATGATTGGCGCCCTTGCCAACCCTTTCGGCTGGCAGGGTGGTTACTAACTAGATATAAGTTTTTTACTGGCTATGACGACAACAAGCACCAGTGGTCTAGTGGTAGAATAGTACCCTGCCACGGTACAGACCCGGGTTCGATTCCCGGCTGGTGCATTTTTTTTTATTTTTTTCATGTTTAGAGATGTATTTCAATATATTTTGTTATTTTGTAGATTTTACACTTGGGTAGGGTACAAGTCACATGTACAGACACTTGTGGATAAATAAATATATATACACACCTGTACAAATTCAATGATAAAATAGTATATTATTTGGAGAGTAGTGTTTAAATTGACATTTTTCATATAATTTCACATGAAATTTCTTGGAATTTCACTCCTCTCGTGTTTACAATGATCATTGAAGCAAGTCTATTCGTACTTTTTTGTCTCATTAATCTTCTCTAAAGATCCACTTTCGTCATTTTAACTCAGTTCAAGCCTTTTACGTACATAGAATTACAAAAATAACTCTATTAATTTTTTCTTAGGACATGAAAAAAATGGAAAAGGCTTGAAAATAACCAAAAAAAAAAAAAAAAAACATTTAACTTTTCAACTATTTTTAGACCAAAATGCCAAAAATATGAATAATACACTTTGGATATGGAAATTGCATTGGAAATTTCCTTCACTTTTATCTCTACCTTTAATAGTGGAAGTTTTATTTTTTATTTATTAAACTTTTTTTTTTTTAGTTTTTGTCATCTTTGCTTTTTATACAATAGAAGACCCTTATTGGATAGATATTGCCTTGGGAAGTTTGATGGAAATTATGTTTTATCCACACAAATTAATTTAATCACTAATAATAGAGACTACATATAAAAATAAAAAATTTAAATAACTATAGATTATTCCTTAGTTAAATTATAATATAATGTTATAATTATAAATTTATGATAAATTTTAAAACTTTTAAAATAAATGATAAATTTATGGACTTTTTTATTTAAAAAAAAAAAATAATTTAACCACTTTTATTTGATGGTTATACATATGATCAATAGAATCAAGAAACTCTACCACAAAAGCAAACCATTTCCTGTTAGTTTGGCGTCCATCCATGGCTTCCAGTACCCCCAGAAACCAGCTGCAGGTTCAGCCCCACTTTGTGTTAGTCCCGCTCATGGCTCAAGGCCACATGATACCCATGACTGACATCGCCACCCTCCTCACGCATCGCGGCATCTTCGTCACCTTCGTCACCACCCCATTCAATGCCATCAGGTTCGAATCCTTCTTCGCTTGGGCTAAGCAACCCGCCCTCCCCATTTCGCTCCTCCAAATCCCCTTCCCTTGCCTCCAAGTCGGCCTCCCTCTCGGCTGCGAGGATCTCGACGCTCTGCCATCTCGTGCCCTTCTCAGGAATTTCTACGAAGCTCTGTCTTTGCTTCAGCAGCCATTGGAGCAGTTCTTGGAGCATCATCTTCTTCCTCCTCCCTGCATAGTTTCGGATAAGTATTTGTATTGGACATCCCAAATTGCTCACAGATTCAGATGCCCAAGGGTCATATTTCATGGCACTGGCTGCTTCTCACTCTTGAGCACACTCAATCTCCAACTCTACAGTCCCCACACCTCGGTTGATTCTGATAAACAGCCGTTTTTGGTGCCTCGATTGCCTCATAAGATCGAAATTACAAAATCCCAACTCCCTGGATCCTTAATAAAGTCCCCTGATTTCGATGATATCCGAGAGAAAATAAGAGAGGCAGAACAGGAAGCTTATGGGGTTGTGGTAAATAGCTTTACAGAGCTGGAAGATGGGTATTCTGAAATTTACCAGCGCCAAATTAACAAGAAACTGTGGTGCGTTGGGCAGGTTTCGCTTTGCAACAAAACGAGTTCAGAAAATACAACAGGGGAAACAGAGCTCCCATAAAACAGAGCAATTGCTTAAACTGGCTTGATTCGATGATCCCGAGATCAGTCCTTTACATCTGCCTCGGAAGCTTATGTCGAATGATTCCTTCACAACTCATCCAAATTGGGCAGAGCTTAGAATCTTCAAATCGTCCGTTCATCTGGATTATCAAGAACAGAGACGAGAATTGCTCAGAGCTGGAAAAATGGGTATCAGAAGAGGGATTCGAGGAGAAAATCAAAGGGAGGGGATTGATCATCAGGGGGTGATCTCCCCAGCTAATGATTCTATCGCATCCGTCAATCGTTGGGTTCGTAACGCACTGTGGGTGGAACTCGACGGTGGAAGGGATCTGCAGCCGGGTGCCGATGATCACATGACCTTAATTTCCAGAGAAGTTCTTGAATGAGAAGCTGGTGGTGGAGGTACTGAAGATCGGAGTGAGGATAGGGGTGGAAGGGGCAGTGCGATGGGGGGAAAAGGAAAGAGGTGGAGTGTTGGTGAAGAAGGAAGCTATCAAGGAAGCAATTGAAATGGCGATGGATGGTGGAGAAGAAGGGGAAGAAAGAAAAAGAAGAAGCAGAGAACTGAGTAAAATGGCATCCAAAGCAATGGAAATGGTGGATCTTCTCATATCAATTTCTCACTGTTCATCCAAGACGTAATGGCTCAATCAGCTCTCCTCAACCCTCTTTTTCTTAAATTAAAATTCTAAAAATTAAAATCAAATTTGAAATCTTTTCAATTAAGAAAAAGTGTACTCGGTTGTTTGGTAGATCGTCAATTTTATTGTTCTTGTTCTTTTTTTCAAATAATAATTTTCCATTTCCCCCAGCACCCACGCACGAGGAAATGATACAAAAAAACAAAAGCCGTTGAAGTAAACATATGGATAAGAAATTGGGAATCGGAGGTTTGAAATTAAGATGATCGAAAATGAAATGAGTGTGTTTGATACACGAAGCTAATGGGAAAATTACTTCAACAAAGAAGCGAAATGCAAGGCATTGGCAGCTATATGTTGAAGCTTATGATCTTGTTTCACAAGCCTTGAAGCCACCTGCACGACACCCTTGCCGCCTTCGGCCAACGCATCGTTGCAGGTTTCGTAGAAGGATAAGGACCCGGAGAGGGTGATTTGAAGGCTGGCTATGTCGTTGCTCCGCAAATTCTGGAGGCTATTGTTGAGGTCATCAATGGCAGAGTCATAGTTGTCTGTGCACACATCTATGAACTGCGAACTCTTGAGCTTCTCGCTCGATGCTTTGAGGCGTCGTGTTTCGGACAACAGAAACTCAATGGATGTCTTGATCGCCGCTTTGGGATCGGTGGCGCCTTTCACAACGGACTTGCAAAGCTCCACATACTCCGCTTTGTCGCAGAGGTCAGATGCATGAGCTTGGCAACCCAATAAGATAGCGGCGATGAGGAAGAAGGAAACCAAGTTTTGTTGAGCCATTGTAATGTAATTTAGGCTTCTTCCTCCAAATTGGTGCCTGTTTTTAGAGCAAATGGCTTTGTAATCAATTTGGGTTTTGCTTTTGTTTTTAAATCCCTTCATCAATGGAATAATTCAACCGTTTTCCTCAACTGACCAATAAGAACATGTTGTTTTTGTAAGGCCTTCCTTCATTCTCGTGTGGGAATCAATTTTTCTTCATTTTTACACAAAACAATCGTTAAACAGTTTTAACATTAAAAATTAATTTAGGTGCCTAAATTGCTGTATCTGGCTATATCATAAATTTAGGTGCATTTGTGTCTAGTAGCAATGATGAATTTAGTTTATTGCATTCAGGCACGAACCAAAATGGTGAACTACAAGTCCAAAGCATCAAATAAGGCATTAAAAACTAAGGCTTCCAAAGGGAATTAGAAGATGAGAATGGAATAAATTAGGTTGAAATGTCGTTTGGTTTCAGTATATCATCAATGAATAATGCAATGTTTAGCTGAGAAGAGCAGCCATCTTCCAAAGCCTTATTAGCCATAACCCCAACTTCTCTTGCTCTCTTCCTTCTTTCCTCAGCTTCTTCTCCTTCCCCCATTACCCTTTCAATGCCTTCCTTCACGTCTTCTTTCCTCACCTCTACCACCCCCTCCTCCTCCTCTTCTTCTTCGCCTTCCTCTTTCATTTTCATCACTGGATATTGAGCGCCAACTTTCACACCTATATTCAAAACATCAGCCACGAATTTCTCGTTCAGAAATTGGTCTGAGAATAGAGGCCAAGTGAGCATTGGCAAGCCAGCAGCTACGCCCTCAAGGATTGAGTTCCAACCACAATGAGTGAGGAATCCCCCAATGGCAGGGTGTGATAATATCAATAGCTGAGGAGCCCAATCTCTTATGATAACCCCTCTTCCTTTCATTCTCTCTTCAAAACCCTCTTCTTCAATCCATTTTTCCAGCTTGTTTGAGGCCCTCACCACCCATACGAATGCCTTCTTTGATGCTTCTAACCCCAACCCTAGCTCTATTAGTTGTGGGGTTTTTAAGTTGTGTAGGCTTCCAAGGCAAACATACAGCACTGAGTTTGGAAGTTGTGAGTCTAGCCATATCATCACTTGATCATTGCTGCTGTCCTTTGAAGTAACGCTACCTCTTTGAGCTTTGTCCTCATAGCGTTTATTGCACAAAGAAACAGGCCCAATACACCAAACTCTATCCCCTCTCATTTTCTTCAACTCACGTACATAACAACCCTCAAGTTCCTCAAAGCTATTCACGACCATCCCATAAGCCTTCCTCTCAGCCTCTCCAATCAGCTTAATGAATTTCATCATCCCATCACTCCTAAATCCAACGGGCAACTGAGCCTTGCTGACCTCTATTCTATGCTCCAACCCGGGGACTTCAAAATACTCCCCATCGGACCCGACCGTCTCGCAAATCCCCGACCCCAGAATCTTGGACATGGCAACATTCCCAAAACAGGAGCCTCCGTTGAAGGACAGCCAAGGGACCCCAATCTGGGAAGCTATGTGGAGGGTCCATGGGAGGCAGATGTCTGAGATAATGCAGGTGGGTTGTGGGGAGAGGGCTTTGCAGAGGGCGAGGGCTTGGGGTTGGAGGTCATGAGCCAGAGAGGACAAGAAAGAGAGGGAGTGGTTGAAGGAGGGAAGGTGGTCCATGTGCTGGTAGGCGTGACTTAGTTGGAGGAGGGTGAGATGGATTCGGGGATGAGATAGTAGGGAATTGTCGAGGCGAGTGGCGTTGTGGGGAGTGGTCAAAATGGTGACATGAACAAAGGGAGCGGCTTGGGATAAGAGCTTGGCGATGTCTACCATGGGAATGGTGTGGCCTGCTGCCATTAAAGGGAACAACACGAAGTGAACAAGGTCGCTATTGTTCGAGGAGTTTGAGGAAGCCATCGGATGGGGTGTATTGGAGAAGAGGTGTTCGGCGGATAAAAAAAGGATTTGGCTTGAAGATTGTTTTGATCTTTGTGTTTGGTTTGGATGATTGAACCATATTCACGGAGATTTGTTGCATGGAGATAGGATATGATATGATATGTACCGTTTTTTAATTTACATTTATAACTTCCTTCCAAAAATATATATATATTCATCAACTAAATAAAAATAATCGAGAAAAATAAATAAGTGTATTTTATTTTATTTATGCCAGAGAGTTTTTGGAGCACTAAGTTAGATTCCCTCCCCCAGATCCTTGAAATAAAAGTAGTTTAGACACAAATTTAACAATTTAAGAGATTCATTTTAAAATTTGTATGTCTATTAAACACGGGATTGAACAATGATGAAAAGAGGAAAGTAAACAACTCAGGTATGAATATGCATAAATTTCATGGACTTGGACATACAATGATGTTTAAAGAGGTTGAGAAACAAACATGTAGACTCCATACACATTCTATCCCAATCCAAAAATCGTAAAATTCTAAACTCTAAATGAAAAAGAGGGTGGTGTTGCCCTGTTCATAGCTTCCAGAATCCCAACATCACACCACAAAAGCGCATCCATAGATTCAGAGGAAAGTTTTGGAAAAAACATGCCAAAGGATGTTCGTTGCCCTTTCAATCTCCCACCTCTCACCTCCTGACCAGCAGAGGCAACCAAATATGCAGCAGCAGAGGCTCCACCAAGGAAACCCATCAGCAACCCGACCACACCGGCTTCCTTCTCCACCCACCACCCACCACCACCGCCATCCGGGGTGGTGGGGTTGGTGCAACTTTGAGAGGGACGGATGATCAATGTTGGGTTGGTTTGGGTTTTATATAGGATGTGGTTTGTTTATTAATGCAATAAAAAAGGTTGAAATGACCTAAGAAGGGAGTTTGTGGTGGCTTTTTGTTAAAGAGAACATGAGTAGAAAAGGCAGAAAGCGACTGAAAAGGAAGCAATTTTGAGCATCTTCCATGGGATATGCCTTTGGCATTGGCATCTCCTCTTCCCCGCAACATCGCAGATGCCATACCAGCTCATCTCCATTCAACCTAAGTTGCATCTCACTGTACTAGATCTTCATTCCTTTTTCATTTTTAAATCTTAGATCAAACATTATGTGGCCTAAGCCTTCTAAATTTGTTTAATTTGGGGCCAAACAAACAATCTTGATCATCTAACAGGACAGCCCATTTCAAAAGTTCATTTTTAAAAATGGGTGGCCTTACTTTCCCTTTTGTTTTACCTTTCTTTTCCTATTTGTCCTTTCAACACGTGCCTGTATTCATCCCTACCCATCCTTTACTCTCATGTTCACATGTTAGGGGAAGCCAAGCCTTTTTTCTCTGTGGGCTAAAATGCTTTAAGAATAATCAACCTAATTTGAGCATGAGCATGGCTTTACTTTTGGTTTTTCCCAAAAGAACTCATACTAAAAGAGATGTATTCCTTACTTATAAATAAACTCACGGTCATCCCTTTAATTACCCAATGTTGAGAAACAATCCTCCCCTCCAACAAACTATACTATAATAGAGCCTCCCTAAGGCCTATGGAGTCCTTGAACAACCTCTCCTTTATCAAGACTCGACTCCTTCTCTGAAGCTCTCGAACAAAGTACACTCTTTGTTCGACACTTGAGAATTCTATTGATATGGCTAAGTCAAGGGCATGACTCTGATATCATGTTAGGAATCACAGACCTCCACAATGATATGATATTGTCCACTTTGAGCATAAGCTCTCATGGCTTTGCTATGGGGGAGATGTATTCCTTACTTATAAACTCATGATCAAACTTTTAATTAGTCAATGTAGGACTCCCTCCCAACTCACCCGGGGTCAAGCTTCTTGCACCAAGCATGGCTATGTGAGCGACTAGTAAGTGTCTACTGTACTATTTAAAACAATCAACAGGGTAGTCTCCACACAAAAACAGAATAAGTACCTGAAATCTGCATTGCTTTCATTAGGCACAGGACCTTCCAACTCAAATCTTTCTGATATAAACTCTTCTGCTTCATCCCAAACCCTGAAACATAAGTGGGAGTTACAACATTGTGCAAAACACTTCACAAAGCAAGAACAAGTTCAACTTTCCTCATGTCCAAAATATAATTCCAAACTGGCAACCAAAGAATAATTGAGACAAATAAATGATTTTTGCTTCAATTGTAGTAAGAATGCAAGTATTCTTTCTGTATTCAGATATTGATTGATTTTGCAAAATGTTGGTAATGAATGGAAAACTTTAAGCTATCAAGAACACACCTCTTGTGTACTGACCAGCAAAAATCAAAGGATGCTTGGATCAGCGTCATTCACATATTCCTCCTCAGCTCCCACAATTTCTTTGCACTTCGCAATGAGTTCTTCAACACTTCTCCTGGTCACCGTAAATTAATAGTTACTAAGAATGCAATAAACGATGATAAATTTTCAATTTGTCCTTGCTTATCAACAGAACAGTTAGCAAAAGCAAAAAGATTACCGTCCAAAGAGGGGCTTCTGCAATCGCGAAACCCGACCCCGACAAGAACTCGGGGACATCAGAAACAAGGCCTTTAGCGAAAGTCCCATAACTGCTGAGAACGTGGTTAGCAATGGCGGGGTCACTAACCACGACAAAATTTCTAGGGCCAGCGGCGAGCCTGTAAATGGGTCCGTAGTCATTCATCCACTAGAAGAGTGGAAGAAAAAGAGCAGCGCGGAGAAGATCAGAAACAGCATAGAGCTTGGCAGTCGTCACCCCCTGCCTTAGAGTAATGAAGCGAGTCGGAGAGGGGAGGCAATCAGGAAGAACCGGATTTTGCAGTGTTGGTGGAGCTCTTAATCTTCGTAGGCGTGGGGGGATTCCCTTGGTCAATGGAAGATTTAACGGAGGGATATGGAGATGGGATTCTTCGCCTGAGAAGAGTTAAAGGCTACTCCGATTCTTTGGGCGGGTGAGTCGTCTGTTTTCCCTTTTCCTTGTTCGTCTTGTTCCTGTTGCTGGTATTGTACAATTGGTAATTATTTTCTCATGAGATACATGGGAATTTGTTTTTATCTCGATCCTTCTTCTTTTCCTTCAAGTTACATGGAACTCAATTGGTTTACTGCAAAATCTGTACTGAAATTGGGTAATCCTCAACGGAATTCAACGAGCAGATCCTTGTTGTGCCTGTATATTGCATCTGCCCAAATGCAGGCATCCTTCTTCTTCTACCGTGTTTAGAAATTTAATACTCATCTTAAGGGTTGTTTTTCTTTTTTATTTCCGGCTTTTGTTTTATTGATCGTGCTAATATAAGGTTTGTAACGTTATAAATGATATCAAACAGAGACACTCGTTAGTGTGCAATGATATCAAAAAGAGACACTTGTTAGTGTGCAATGATATCAAACTCTCTTAATTGAGATATTTTAAAATTATGAGATCTAATGCACTATTACAATTTTTTTTGTTTTTGTTTGTATTGAAACAATGGGTTGATTCTAAAAAAATACATTTTATTTTATTTTATTTTTGTTATTTATTCTCATACTAACTAAAATTTTAGTTTTATAAAAAAAAAAAAAAATTGAATAAACCGCTTGAATAATCCAAATCAATCTAACCTGGGTTGGTTCACTATTTAATTAGAGTTATTTGGAATAAAAAAGATACCATTCCAACCAATCCAACCAATCTAACCTAAAGGTTGGATTTGATGGATTCATTTTGTAATAAATATTGTTTGAGTTATAAAAAAAAAAAAAAATTAGGTTATATCCAAAAAAAATGTTTCATCCTAACTCAACCCAACTCACGAACACTCTTATCACTCAGACTTAAATTTTTGAGTTATAAAATTAATGGTGCAGATCGATTCACAATTTTGTAGAATCAATTATTAGATTGAAGCTCAATCTTGTGGTCCTACTCGGAAAGAGTTTCTCCGTTCCATTCAATAATGTTTTAAGATTAATTGTCTGTTCAATTAATGTCAAGTGTAATGCTTCTATGGATATCTTGTCAATTTTTTTTTAGAGTTAAATGAAAAAAAAATCCTAAATTTTAAAAAATATTATTTGTATGAACAAATAAGTAACTAAATCCAAACTACTATTTATAACCACTAATTAGTCTAAAGTCAACAATTTCATTAATAAATACTTTAATTTATTAACTCAAATTATAAAATACATTGAAATTTCTATTTTTGAAAAATATAGAAATATATATTTCTTATGAAGAAAATGGAAGATGCTACATGCAAAAAAGAGAAAAGAAAAAACTACCACTGTGATTGTGACACGTATTTAAAGAAATAACCCACTGTGGTCGGGATGGGGACACGTATTTAGATCGTATGAATAATTGAGTGAAGTGCTGCATGTTTTCGCGCCCACCTTGTTATTGTACCGACTCTTATCTTATTATGAATTGTTTTTTGTCTTTATTTAAATTTAAAAAATAGTACAATAAACGTGGAGAGAGAATTGAAACTTTAACTAATATAAAAACACTTACCTTCATCATTTGAAAATTTTCTTCTTATTATTATTTGATTGTTTATATTTTTCATTTTTATTCAAAAATAAAAATTATCTATTAAGCAGTTAATTTGAATAATTTTTTTTAATATATTTCTTTTTTCTCGAGATGGGATATAATATAAGAAAATTTCTGAGAACCGATCTCCAATAATGAACATAAATAATTAAACCAAATTTTAAAGAAAAATAATAATAATAAAATGGATGTGAAATCACGTGGTGCAATAGTCTCTTTCAAATAAACACAAGCTTCCAAAATATCTGTTTTTAAATTATCACACTCTCTCCACGTGTCAATAACTACCAACTTGATGATAATGACGACCTTTTATTTGGGACCAATTCTAGAGATCCAAATTCATATCTTTTTAAATATTTATATATTTTTTAAATAAATTAAATTATTTCATACCCATTTTTTACATAATAATAATAATTTAGGGTTGGATTAATCTGGTTTTTAAACTCATTTATTTATATATTTATTTATATATTTATTTATTGGAAGATCACGTGTGAAAATGTGAATCTTCGTCATATTATTTAAACTAAAAAAAATTAATCGTGTTTGTGAATAAAATATTTTGAAAAATTCTTAGAAAATTAAAAAATATCAATAATATGTCCTATATTATTTGATCGTTCTTATCTCAATTGGTCTTATAATAATTTAAAAATACTTATTTATATTATCTATTTTATTCAAACATGTTACGATGAATAGAATATTAAAATAAGATTTAAGATAGAGAACCTTCCTATGATTTTTTATTTTATCCAAATAATCAATTGAGGAAACAATACAAAAAAAAAAAAAAAAAAAAAAAAAAAAAAAAAAAAAAAAAAAAAAAGTTTATTTAAGAATAGATAAAATTTATTTTCGATTAAATTTTCCTCATTTAATTAATTATTATTATTTATTTTGAGAACGTGGTAATTTTGGTGGATTAAAGTATTTATAATATACTTATCTTCTCTAATTTTAATTAAATATCTAAAAAAAGAGACTATTTATATTTTTAAAAAATATTTTTATTATACGTGAGCGGTAATTAGTTTCCACACACATATATATTCAAAGTTAAAATGCATATATTTTAATTAATTCAACTTCAAACTTGAAAATAATCCAGATAACAAATAAAGAAATTCGAAGGTAAAAAAAATGTGTATAAACTATTTATTTTATTTTATTTTATTTTAATTTGAGCTTACCACCATTATTTAAAAAACCAAACCATCAATTAATTTTTTTTGTTTTGTTATTTAGTTTTTACGGTGTTCAAGAATTAAGTTAAATTTAATTTTTAAAATTTTGGCTAAAAATTAAATTTTTAGTTTAAAAAGTTGGAGGAAAATGAAAAATAATAAAACTAAATTGTCATCGTTGAAACACTTTAGAAAAAACTAATTAAACTTTAATTTTAGGCATTTAAATTGGAATATCATTATAATTTATTTGGTGTATATATAGTTTATATGCATATATATCCACACAATTGGGAAGATAAGAATTGGGCAAGTGTCGTGTAGGATACCCAAAAATTTATTAATACAAAATTGGGAAAGGGAAAGAAAATAAATATTTTAAAGAATTAGACACGTTTTTAATTCCACGATGGAGTCTCCAATAATGCAGGCCCAAAACTTAATACGGACATTCACGTGGTCCTAATTGTGTAAGCCCCGTATTAAACTTTTTGTCTTTTATCCATGTTGATATACCAAATAAATCGAAAATTTTAATATACGACCCAACAAAATATATATGAACTTTTTTTAGATTTACCCATTAACATTTTTTATATAAAATTTAAAGCATATTTTAAATATAAGTTATAGCAATGTTCATTAGACTGAATTGGTCGGATAATTGTAATGGATAACTCATACTCTTATTGGTGGAAAACTTTGATGACATAATCATTTCTAGTTATTTTTAGTGCTATTTTGAGTTATTAAGTAATTTATTTAAATTTTTATTTTTAATAAAAATAAAAGTAAAACATCCTTTAATTATTTTTAAATATTTAATTAAAATTTGTAGTTGAATTTTAATATATATTTTTAAAAGAATTTAAAAAAGTTTATGGGTATAATTTTTTAAAAAATTATATATATACATATTATATTATAAGTGAAAAAATAATAATAAATTGAATCTAATCTAATACATGAATGGAGGGAGGGATGGAATCTCGTGTGGAACATAAGTTTTTTTTGTTTTTTTTTATTTTATTTTGTGAAGTTCTTAATAAACTAATAAATATAAAGTAGTAATAATGTGAATAAGAAGTTACCGTTAAGTTTGGCTATTTAAACCCGACCAACTCCCTCCAATCCTTCACAAAGCAATAAGCAATAAAAACTGAATTCCAACATCCTCTGTTTTGTTTCTCCAACAATTATGGAATCCATTCTTCTCACCGCCACCACTTCAAACATCCCGCTGCCTCGAAACTCTTCCCTTTCCTCACTCTCTTTCTCCTCCTCCCTCCCGAATCAGGTGAGCACCAAGGTCGAGATCAGGCGAAGCAACAAAGGTACGACCAAGGCGCCGCGCATCGTGGCCTCCTCGTCGGGGTCCAAAGGAAGGGCGGGCAAAGGGGTGTCTGCCAATGTAGCAGTTGACGGTTCGGTTGTGGCGGAGGGTGTGAAGGACGTGTCGTGGAAGGAATTACAGTACGAGGAAGGGTCAACCGGGCATAGGCTGCCCCTTCCCACTGACCCGGATACTGAGAAGCAGATGGAATATATTACAAACATATTGGGTTCAAATGTGTACGATGTGGCTATTGAAACCCCATTGCAGCTTGCGCCCCTCTTGTCTACTCAATTGGGTGTCAATCTCTGGCTCAAGAGGGAGGATTCACAACAGGTACGACAAAAAGGGTACAGAGAAGAAAAAGGGTAACGAGAAGAAGTGAAGTTAGAAATGATTAATATTTTGTTTATGTAACGTAGGTGTTCTCATTCAAGATTCGAGGTGCTTACAATATGATTTCCAAACTTCCTGAAAAACAATTGAAAAAGGGGATTATCTGTGCATCAGCTGGGAATCATGCGCAGGGAGTTGCATTATCTGGTCAGCGATTAAAAACTAAAGCCTACATTGTTATGCCAACAACTACTCCTCAAATCAAGGTCTGGAATGCTAAACTATTATTTATTATTTTTTTTTTTCATTTCAAATTTTGGGGTTTGAAATTAACTTTGAATCATAAAAACATATAGATAGATGCAGTTGAGAGATTGGGTGGAATTGTTGATCTGTATGGCAATTCTTTTGATGAAGCGCAAAAAAGAGCTAAGGAGAGGAGCGAAGAGGAAGGCCTTACATTCATACCTCCTTTTGATGACAAAGATGTTATAGCAGGGCAAGGTACAGTTGGTATGGAAATTGGGCGTCAAATAAGGGGCAAAATCCATGCTATTTTTGTTCCTATTGGTGGTGGTGGTCTCGCTTCTGGGATTGTCTCTTTTTACAAGCTGGTTTATCCTGATGTAAGTGCCTCCATATGTGTTCCTTGTTCTTGTTCTTGTTCTTGTTGTTGATTAAATTTTGGGTTGATTAGTGTTGTTGTGTTGATGATACAGGTAAAGGTATTTGGGGTGGAACCAAATGATCAGAACTCCATGGCGCAGGCATTGTATCGTGGGGAGATAGTGAATGTGACAGATATTGGGCATTTTGCAGATGGAGTAGCTGTTCAACAAGTTGGCGACGAGACATTTCGAATCTGCTATGAACTCCTGGATGACGTGATTCTTGTTAAAAAGGAATCAATATCTGCGGCTATAAAGGTTTGGGTGGATTAATTCTGTGTTACTTCCAATAATCATTCATAATATTGTTCTAAGACAGATATCTGGTTGTATGCATGTGACAGGACATGTTCAACGACGGCAGGAACATCTTAGAACCTTCCGGTGCTCTTTCCATTGCTGCAGCCAAGGCCTACTGCGAGTATAACAATATTAAGGGAGTAAATGTTGTGGCTGTTACCAGTGGTGCAAATATGAACTTTGACCAACTGGGACAAATCTCTGATCTTGCCAATATTGATCAGTCTATTCTCGCAACTATGTTGCCAGAAACACCTGGAAGCTTAAAACAACTTACCGACCTGATCGCCGATGTGAGTTCGTTCGTTCGTTCGTTCGTTGTTTTGGTTCTTATTTTATAATTTGGACCTTGATTAACATGTTTAATGGGGTGAGTTTGGTTTTACAGTTGGGTGTCACCATTACAGAAATGACTTATAGATTTAGCTCTGGCTCAACAGATGCTCTTGTTGTTTATAAGTAAGTGCTTCTTGAAGCCTATTTAGTATTGGTTCTTGGTTTCCTTCTTATATTTAACTTGGTTTATGCAATGGTATGCAGAGTTAAAGCAGTAGATTCAGCACTTGAAACTTTGGTGAGACAGTTGAACTTTTTTGGGTTCAAAACATACACTTTATCCGATAATGAAGTTGTTAGAAACCATCTCCGTTTCATGGTAAATACGTATTCATATTTCTTTTTCAAATTAAATTTGGAAAACGCCTCGAATATTAACTTGTAATCAACCCTTTTATTTGTCATTTCCAGATGGGAGGCAGACAAAACGTTGAAAACGAAACACTCTTCCGTTTTACTTTCCCAGAAAAGGTTGGTGCTCTAAAGCACTTCCTCAAAGACTTTCAGCCAAACTGGAACGTTTCTTTGTTTCACCATCGTCACCAGGTATATGTTCGAGTCTCGAGTTGCTTATTACACCCTGTTTTGATGATCATTTGATGGTTGGTTCTTAAGTATAAATTGGGTAATGTTTTTTCTGTTGAACAGGGTATTCTTACTTCAGATGTGTTGATTGGAGTCCAACTTGAGAAATCAGAGGAGAAAAAGTTTCACGAGTATGCGAAGAAAGTTGGGTATCAATATGAGGCAATATCTCAAGATGATTCAGCCCAAGTTCTAGCAAAACTCTAGATAGATCACAACCCTTGCTGTTCATATCACTTGATCCATCAAGAATCCTTGGCTTGAAGCTGGGAATAACTTGGTTTCAATGCTCTAAATAAGATGATGATGGCAATTAGTGAAATGAAGTTGACTGTATTTGTATTCAACTATCTATGTATGTCTTATAATAAAAGTACTGCAACTGGATTTCTTAAACCAATTGCTTTCTTCTCATTTCTCGTTCTTTCTAATTCTCATATTGCAAAATTACGTAAACGATTCAATTCGTTTATTCGTAATTGGGAAGTAATGCTAACAAATGAAGGGTAGTTGAGATTTAAACGTCTACAAAACATAGTTTTCGACTATATTATTTTCATATGAGCATTCGGTACATGTATCAGTTTGTAAAAGAGTGAAAGGATCATCACTACTGAGAATCCCTAATCTTAGATAGGTTGTCTAAGGGTTCGCCACAATTCATTGTTTTGCTTACACGCTACACTGGCTACCCTTCTCCGAAAGCTCCACAGAACCACCTACCATTAGTTTTTGGCTGGAGAGGTTTATTGCACAAAAATGGCGGGATATATGCCCAGGAAGAGGGAAGCCCAACGAATCTTAGATGCAAAGCCCCACATCTTATTAAGATCATATTAGCATACTCTCCCAAAAAAAAATAGTAGATCCCATGGAAGGCAACTCTAAGCTCCTTCCTCGGGACACTGTTGCATTGGTCTTGGTTTGACCTCCTAATGAGAATTGAGGACCTTGCGCGAACTTCTCATCTCCAAGACTTGCTTGCTCTGTATCGAATGCCCGTAGTTCCTCGAGTGCAAGTCTCAAAGAGAAATGCCATCAACTAGGGTGCTATGGGTCACTAACCACTCACTCCTAATGAGAATTTTTAGTATGTCTTTATTTTTTAAAAATAGTAATAATAATAATAATAATAAACAAAATTAGTTTAGCAATTATTGGTGGGAAATTGTCATGGCGATTTTCTGGGAAACTGCCGTAATTTACTGGTGGTGGATAAATTTAATTAATTCTAACTTTTCTTGTTTCTGAAAAAAAAAAAATATATATATATATATAGATATATTAATTTAAAAAATACTTCAAATGTTACTTTTAAAAATTCAGGGTACTCATGGTAAAATACATATATATTTTTTTAATGGTTAAAAGTATATTTGAAAATTTTAAAAAAATTTAAAAGAATATTTTTTAAACCATTTTTATCTCAAACTAACTATAAATATATATATTTGTTACTTGTTATTATTAAAACTTTTAAAAATTTATGGGTAATTTTTATATTTTTATTAATTTAGCGAAATAAAATTTATAATCTCGAGTTCATACGTGAATGGAGCAACTTAGGCTTCAATTTCAAGCTTAAAAAGAAATTTCCAAGGAATCGATTTAAACGAACACAAAGGTTGTGTTCGATTTGATAACTTCTTTTTTTCAAAGGTTGGGTCCAATTTGGTAATGATTTTGATTTTTCTGTTTTTTATTGTTTTTTTTTAATACAATTAACACATATTTTTCTTGTTTCGTTTTTTGAAGACAAAAAAAAAAAAAAAAGAGAGTACGTTTTCTCATTTCAGTGGTCAAAATACCCCATTTTCTTTTTCTTTTTTTAATTTTTAAAACAAAAGTAAAAAAAAAAAAAAAACGTTAATACACATTCATCTATAGATTTTTAAATTTTTTTTTATAATAATAAAGGATATTAATGGTAAATATATTTTTGAATTTTTTTTAAAAGTGGAAGAATATTAATGAAATTTTTTAAAATTTAAAGACGTTTTTAAAGCAAAAAAGCTTGAGGGTTTTTATAAAGTTACAAATATATTTTTAAGATGTGTTTTTTTTTTAGAGTTTAAGCTATTAAATCTTTGGGAAGTTTTAAATTATTTTTTAAATAAAATACAATAAACGTCATTTTGTTATTTAGTATTTAGGAATATTTTCAAAGAAAGCTAAAGTAAAAAAAATAATAATAATAATTTTTGTTTTTAAATTTTAGCTAAAAAATTGAACGTTTAATTAATCTAATCTAAGCCAATTTGTGATGTAATATACTCAATAATTTGGTTGATAAAAGGGAAAGAAATTATATATTTTAAAAAGACACGTTTTTAAGTACCCAATAATGCACTCTCCAGACTCCAATAATGATATTGACGTGATCCCGATTTATTAGATATTAAATTGTTATCCGCTAGCAAATATTTTCTTTTTCTGACTTTCTCTTTCAAGTTTTCATACCTTTGTAGCGTTCTACTCCCTAATCGATGTAAGATATAACACACGTTTTACGTATATTTTTATATATTTTTGAGATGGATAATAACGTACGATGATGAAATTAAATATATTAATAATATAGTTTAATTATATTTTATAGAACGAGATTTTGAAAAATGGGAGGTAAGAGGTTGAGTTGGGGGTATTTAAACCCGATCGGTTCCCTCCAATGCATCACACTGCAATAAGTAGAAGCAAGAAAAACAGAGTTTAAGATCTTCGCTTTCTTTCTCTTACCATTATGGCATCATCCTTTCCTCTCAATGTAGCAGCCGACGGTTCGGTTGCAGCGGCTCCGGAGGAGGAGAAGGGACATTCGTGGAAGGACCTTGTGGTCGAGGAAGGGGCAGTCGTGGAAAGGAAATTCCCTCCCGCCAACCCGGATACGAAGAGGCAGATGGAGTATTTTCTTTGAATTTTTGAGGTTTGAAATTAACGGTGAATCATAAAAATATATAGATAGATGCAGTTGAGGACTTGGGTGGAATTGTTGATCTGTTGGGCAATAACTTTGATGAAGCGCAAGGAAGAGCTAGGGACCGTAGCCTAGAGGAAGGCCTCACAATCATACCTCCTTTTGATGACGAAGATGTTATAGCAGGCCAAGGTACAATTGGGATGGAAATTGGGCGTCAAATAAGGGGCAAAATCCATGCTATTTTTGTTCCTGTTGGGGGTGGTGGCCTCGCTGCTGGTATTGTCTCTTTTTACAAGCTGGTTTATCCTGAGGTGAGCCGCTCCATATCTGTTCCTTGTTCCTTGTTCTTGTTCTTGATTAAATTTATGGACACCTATTTGTTTGAGTTTTTGGGTTGATTCGTGTTGTTGTGTTGATACAGGTAAAGGTATATGGGGTGGAACCAAATGATCAGAACTCCATGGCGCAGGCATTGTATCGTGGGAAGGTAGTGTTTGTTCGTGATATTGGAAATTTTGCAGATGGAGTAGCTGTTAGACAAGTGGGGAACGAGACTTTTGGAATCTGCAATGAACTCCTGGATGGTGTAATTCTTGTTAAAAAAGAATCAATAGCTTCCGCTTTGAAGGTTTGGATGGATTAATTCTGTGTTACTTCCAACAATCATTCATAATATTGTTCTAAGATAGATACCTGGTTGTATGCATGTGACAGGACATGTTTAACGACGGCAGGAACATCTTAGAACCTTCCGGTGCTCTTTCCATTGCCGGAGCCGTGGCCTACTGCAGGTATCATGGTATTAAGAGAGAAAATGTTGTGGCTGTTACTAGTGGTGCAAATATGAACTTTGACCAATTGGGTCATATTGCCGATCTTGCCAATTCTGATCAGTCTATTTTGGCAAGTTGGTTGTCAGAGTGCCCAAAAAGCTTAAAACAACTTACCGGCGTGGTCGCCCGAGTGAGTTCCTTCATTCATTTCTTTAGATATAGTTTTGTCGTTTCAAAGTGATTTTCACGTAACAAAATCCGATTCTTATTTCATAATTTGGACCTTGATTGATTAACATGTTTAATGGGGTGACTTTGGCTCTACAGATGAATTTCAACATTACAGAAATGACTTATAGATTTAGCTCTGGCTCTGTAGACGCTCTGCTTGTTTATAAGTAAGTTCCTCAAAGGCAGGTGCTCTCAACCACTTCCTCAAAGGCTTCCAGCCCAACTGGAACATTTCTTTGTTGCACCATCCTGACCTGGTATATGTTCGAGTCTCGAGTTTCTTATTACACCCTATTTTGATAATCATTTGATGGTTGATTCCATTGGGTAATGCTTTTGTTGAACAGGGTATTATTACTTCAGATGTGTTAATTGGAATCCAACTTGAGAAATCATTGGAGAAAAAGTTTGATGAGTATGCGAAGAAAGTTGGGTATCAATATGAGGCAATATCTCCAGATGGCTCTGCCCAAGTTCTTGCAAAACTCTAGATCCATCACAACCCTTGTTGTTTATTTCACTTAATCCATCAAGAATCATTCGCTTGAACCTGGGAATAAATTAGTTTCATAGCTCTAAATAAGATGATGGTGGCAATTAGTGAAATGAGTATGTATGTCTTATAGCAATTGGTTCCATTGCTTTACATTTCCCACCACGTAAACTGTGTAAACGAATCGATTCGTTTATTCGTAGTTGAAAAATTATGTTAATAAATTAAGAGTGGGTGATATATAAACGTCTATAAAACATACTTATCAACTCCGTTGAGATGCTAGACTCGAATATCAAACGATGTAATTGGTACTCATTTAGTAGAATCAAACTCACTCATCATAGTGTCCGTAAATGTGTTGGTATGGCTCCATTTTTAGTATTTGAACAAAGTTTTGAAAAAAAAAAAAAAAAAAACAGCTTGAATATTAAATTAACTAAAAATTATTTCAAAATTTTTAAAGGTTGAAATTTAATTTGTAACTTTGTACATGGGAATAAGCACTCTCATGCATCATTTTATATCTTTTGTATTTTTTGTATTTATCTACTTAATATTTTAAATTAAAAATTAAAATAGGTAAATTAAATTACATTAAAATTTCAATCATAATGTATGGATTTAGCCTTCTATGCTAAAACATTAATTTATTTAANTATATGCAATAAAGTTCTTAACGAAACTATTAATTACCAAAAAAAAAATATAATGAAACTATTAATTTATTAATTAATGATTAGTTATTGTTAGATTAAATCATACCATTATTATTATTATTTTTTTTTTTTTTTTTGTTAAAATAAATGATTGAGAAGTTAAAAATGTATTTATAATATTATTTACCGCCATATAAAATATTAATATTAAAATTTTAAAATGGTTCAAAAATATATTTTTATTAAAATAAATGATAAAAAAAATAAAAATTATAAAACCCACCTAAATCATTTAGAATTATATATAATATTGAGATTATAGTTAATATTTACACTGTCCTATTAAATAACCATTTCACTCCTTTTAAACATATAAAAAAAATTTAGACCACGTATCGGTTCGTCTTAAGCTCGTTTTGGAGCCACACAAAAATTATGGACGAGATTCAGTCGATCACTTGTTTTATATTTTTTATTTCTCTATATATTATTAAACATGAAAAGAATATGGACCACAGTTTTGATCCGAATTTGAATTATTATAGAAACAAGACAACGTATAAATTGACAATGAAAAATGTGTGCTAGAAGAGGAGGAATAGAGTATAGAAATAACAAAGACTTCACAAAAGGATTCAAAACATTTGTTGTATAGTTGTGATTCTTGAATACCACAACCAATTTAGTAAAAAATTAATTACATTTTTCGAGGTATGATATGCAATTCTCCGAATAATACTTGCATGTAAAATATATGAATATGTTGTCTCGTATAATGATACTCATATTTTTCATCGACATAAAATCAACTTGTAAGATCTCATCTCATGCATCATTTTGGATCATGCATTTTTTAAAAATTTGCTTGGTTTTATTGGGCACCTCGTAGTTATTTGTAGGCCCACACCATACCCGTCCACAAAAACATTGATTTTTTTAATAGGGGATTCTTCCAATATTTTAATTAAAACTATAGTTGTGTGTATTACATGTATCACTTTTGAAATAATTTTTAAAATGTTTAGAGATAAGTATGATTTATTTTCTGGTAGAAATAAGAAAATCATGGCAGGGTCAGATCACTCACGGACGATCAAGAACCTGCAATAACAAAACAAAAACAAAAAACTTAATTACTAATTTAAAATTTTATATTATCTTTGGATTGAAAAATTATTATAAAGAACAGAAGCAAGCAAGATTCTCATGTGTTAATTGATTGGTGAAACAAAAGAATCCGACTTTCCCCTGCTTCTTTACGCTTGATTAATAGCAACCAAGCATTGAAGGCATTGGCAGCTTTCCTTCCACTTTCAACTCGTTGGAGGTGCAGTGCCCTGCTGCTGCAACAGCTCCCTTTTCTTGTGTCAGTCGCTTGCAGCTGCAATGAACGTTCTTCTTAACGCGCCCACTTCGCACCCACTCTCTCGAAAATGGTCCCTTTTATCCCCAGCATTCTTCTTGAATGGGACATCTATTCCGATCGATGACAATCGAAACAGAATTCGAGTTACCAGGGTGCCATTCATCCAAGCCACGCTTTCAAAACACACGGTTGAGAACCTTCCCAATTCTGTGTCGAACACTGCGGTTGTGGCTCTTGAAGACGCATTGGCGGCCGTCCCTTTGCCTCCTCGCAAAAGGGTGTTGGCGGATTCGTTGCAATTCCCGCCTGGGTATCTCGGCGCCGTTCCGGACCGTTTGGGGTCTGATGATGAAGAGGATAGTCTCGATGCGATGGAGTATTTGACTAGAATTTTGGGTTCGAAGGTGTATGATGTGGCTATTGAATCCCCGTTGCAGCTTGCGCCCATGTTGTCTGAGCGTTTGGGGGTCAATATCTGGCTCAAGAGGGAGGACTTGCAACCCGTAAGTGAATTAAAGCACGGTTTCTAATTCTTTTTCATTTATCGGTTTGGAATCTAGCATTTCTTTGGTCATTTGTTCAACAATTCTGAGTGAATTAGTAACCATGTATTCAATCAAAGCTTTACGTTGATTGTTGAGCATTCATCGACATTTTTTAGTGCATCAAAATGTTCTTTGTCCTGCCATTTGGTTTCAACATCAGACGAAGACGGCTTCTTTTGTTGATGGGTTGAGCCTTAACTTTAGGTGATGAATACGCATAACTGGGGGCTGTTGTTTTGGCATTTGTAGGTGTTCTCATTCAAGCTCCGAGGAGCTTATAATATGATGGCCAAACTTCCAAAAGAACAGTTGGAAAGAGGAGTTATATGCTCATCAGCTGGAAATCATGCTCAAGGGGTTGCATTAGCTGCTAGGCGATTAAGATGTGATGCTGTGATTGCTATGCCCGTTACTACACCTGAAATTAAGGTGCATTAATTTATCTTCCTCCTTGTCCTGGTCTTAGTTTCATGCAGATAACAATGTTGGATTACTAATGAAAATGTGAACTTCTAACGTTACAGTGGCAATCAGTTCAAAAATTGGGTGCAACTGTTGTTCTTGTTGGAGATTCATACGACGAGGCGCAAGCGTATGCTAAAAAGCGGAGCATAGACGAAGGCCGCACATTCATACCTCCTTTTGATCACCCTGATGTTATAGCAGGGCAGGGTACAGTTGGGATGGAAATTGTGCGCCAAATGAAGAGCAAATTGCATGCTATTTTCGTGCCGGTTGGGGGTGGTGGTCTAATAGCTGGTATTGCTGCTTATGTCAAGAGGGTTTCTCCTGAGGTCTGTTGGTCTCAGTATTTTAATCTAATATTATCTATTATGGATATTGATTTCTAAACGGTCTTGCTTTTCACATCTTTCATACAGGTAAAGATTATTGGGGTGGAGCCGTCTGATGCAAATGCTATGGCATTGTCATTATGTCATGGTCAAAGAATAATATTAGAAAAGGCTGGAGGTTTTGCAGATGGTGTAGCAGTTAAGGAAGTGGGTGAAGAGACTTTTCGCCTTTGCAAAGGTCTCATGGATGGCGTAGTTCTTGTTGGCCGTGATGCTATATGTGCCTCCATAAAGGTTTGAGCTTCTTTTTGTTCTTTTCATTCATGTACACGCATCCATTATTTCAATGGCTCTTGGATAAGAATGATATGGTTTTGCTTGTGGAACTTGTGCTCTATATTCTTATATTTGTTGTCATATCCAGGATATGTTTGAGGAGAAGAGAAGCATTTTGGAACCTGCAGGCGCTCTGTCTCTTGCTGGAGCAGAGGCATACTGCAAATATTATGGGTTGAAGGGAGAAAACGTCGTGGTAATAACAAGTGGTGCAAATATGAACTTCGACAAACTGAGAATAGTTACTGAACTTGCCAATGTTGGTCGTGAACAAGAGGCTGTGCTCGTGACTAAATTGCCGGAGAAACCTGGAAGCTTTAAAAGATTTTGTGAACTGGTTTGTTTGTTTTAGTGTTTCATTGTTGGTTGATAGTGTCACAGATCTTAGGATGGTGCTAACTGAGGTGTTTGAATCTGCAGATTGGGGCTATGAACATTACAGAGTTCAAGTATAGATATAATTCTGAAAAAGAAGCGGTTGTTCTTTATAGGTAAGTGCTTATGAAGTGGTTGTTGGTTTGTGAGAGATTTCTTGTTCTTGATAACCCATCGTGCTTTGTAGTGTTGGTATGCATATGCCTTCAGAACTGGAAGAAATGATGAACCGGATGAATTCTTCTCAGCTTGAAACTTATAATCTCACAAATAATGATCTTGTAAAGGATCACCTGCGTTACTTGGTATGTTTTTTTTTTCTCTTTTTCCCAATGAACTTGGCAAATGCTTACTTACAACCATTGCTTTTAATGACCAAATGATTATCGAATCCAACTCGGTTGCTCCTTGGATATGAATGCACTACCACCTAGAGAGGGATTGCTAGTTAGCCTCAGATGGGAAACAGCTCTACTGCCCTTCTTTTTTTGTTTTTGTGGCATGATCCAAGTAGCCAATGGGTGGGTAGCCAAGGGGATGCATTGCTTACAAATATGAACTGGTACCATTGATGGCGAAAGAGGCAATCATAGAAAGATTTGGCGTGGCGCCGTGCATATAGAAAGAAAGCTTGCTCGGAGTGCAAGATGTATGGAACGATGTGGTTTTGGAAGGTTACATTATAGGTCCGTGCAGCGTTTCCACGATATCATTATGACTACTTGAGGCTTAGCTGGAAGCTAAACAGCTGTTTTCTTGAAATCCTAACCTTATTTTACTCAAAATCTTGTCTTTTACATTATTTGTAAGCATTGGACATTATCAAAGTGAGCTTAACTTGAACAGGATTAGGAACTATGGCCAAAATACAGTCTTCCATGTATGTTCTTCTAATGAACACTTCATAACTCCTCGCAGATGGGAGGCAGATCAAATGTTGAAAACGAGGTTCTTTGTCGTTTTATCTTCCCAGAAAGGCCAGGTGCTCTAGAGAAGTTCTTAGATGCTTTTAGTCCTCGCTGGAACATTAGTTTGTTTCACTACCATGGGCAGGTTTAAAACTTTGCTGTGACCTTAATTACTCCCTTATATACGAGGACTGTGTTAATGTATCGAATATTGTGTACTTCGACAGGGCGAAACAGGTGCAAATATATTCGTTGGGCTTCAGATGGAGAAACCCGAGTTGGGCGAATTCCATGAACGCGCTAGGAGGGTCGGGTACGATTACGTTGTCGTAACTGATGATGGTATCTTTCAGCTTCTAATGCATCATAGACCAACCCACAAGCCTCTAAATTGATTCTAATGTCAATTTATTATCAACTCGGCAACTCCAAATCTTGTACATCGTATTAGAGACATGGCATAGAGCTATCGAGTATCCTTTACCTCGAAATTTTATGATGTAAACTTGATATTGTTATCTCTACTTACACAATTAGGGGTGAGGGTTAGTTTTTCTAGTACTCTCCTTATATGAACGAAATGTTGCAACTCGTTAATGTAATTTTGAGATTCATAGCTAATAAATTTATAGTTGGGCTAATAGATATTGTCGAGCTTTCCCTCGAAATTTTTATAGGAAGAGATTTCTATACCTTTGTGTTGTTCCTCTCTTTCATCAACGTATGATTTGTATCATTGATGTCGAACACGTAAGGCTAAATTATATATATATTCTTTAAAAAATGGTTGAACGTGACAGTGACATGGAGCGAGCGATATGGTGGTGATTAGGACGTTGGAGTTTGAAAAAATAACTTTTTTTCAAAAACATTTATAAAAGAGTAAAAACATTTAATTTAGATTATTACAAACACTCCAAAAGTTGGGGAAGGAAAAGAAGGGCGAGAGTGAGGACTTGAAACCTTTTGGGGAAGGAACAGAGCAAAGAAAATATGAGTTATGGTTAAGGTTGGCGCCTTTGGATGAAACCATTTGAATGGCAGCCATTGTTCCGCACTCTGCAAACGCCATTTCTGCAGCTTCTCTTCTTCCTTCCGCCATCCCTTTCCGCTTTCCTTCTATGCCCATCAATTCTTCACCTTCAACGCCACCGCCGCCACTTTTATCCAAAACTTCTTTATCTCTCTGTAACCCAAAGCCTTGTCACCTCCCACTCAATTCCACCTCTCCGACCCATTTCCTAGCCTGCGCTGTGTCAATTTCAGAACCCCTTTTCGCTTCACGCTCTGTATATAACTCTACCTCTCCAATTACTTCCGGCTTCGATTTGCTTCGCTTATCCACTCGCTATGGTGACGCTGACCTCGCCAGAGCTGTTCATGCTTGTTTTCTCAAGCTCGAGGAAGATGTTTATCTGGGTAATGCTCTAATTGCAACTTATCTCAGGTTGGGGCTTGTTCAAGATGCTGATAAAGTCTTTTCTGGCCTTTCGTGTCCTAATGTGGTGTCTTATTCGGCGATGATTTCTGGGTTTTCCAAGTCGAACCGGGAAGATGAAGCTGTTGAGCTTTTCTTTGCGATGTTGGACTCGGGTATTGAGCCGAATGAATACACTTTTGTTGCAATTTTGACTGCTTGCATTCGAAACATGGATTATCAATTAGGTTCTCAAATTCATGATATTATCATCAAATTGGGGTACCTGAATTGTGTTTTCATTTGCAATGCACTTTTGGGATTCTATAGTAAGTGTGGGTTTTTGGAACTTGTACTTAGATTGTTCGACGAAATGCCTGAGAGAGACATTACTTCGTGGAATACTGTTATCTCTAGTTTGGTGAGTGAGTTCAGGTATGATGAAGCGTTCGGTTACTTTCGTGGTATGCAACGAAGTGAGGGGCTCAGAGTGGATAATTTCTCTCTTTCTACTCTATTGACAGCTTCTACTGGCAGTGTTAAGCCAATGAAGGGCCAACAACTTCACGCTCTTGGATTGAAGGTCGGGCTGGAGTCTCATTTGAGCGTGAGCAATTCGCTTATTGGGTTCTATACTAAATGTGGGAGTGTAAACGATGTAATGAAACTGTTTGAGGCAATGCCAATAAGAGATGTTATTACTTGGACAGGAATGATAACATCATACATGGAATTCGGAAAGTCGGATTTGGCAGTCGAAGTGTTCAATAACATGCCAGAGAGGAATTGTGTCTCTTACAATGCAGTTTTGGCTGGACTTTCTAGGAATGGCAACGGGTCGAGAGCTCTGGAGCTTTTCATCGAAATGTTGGACGAGGGCATGGAAATATCAGATTGCACATTGACTAGCATCATCAATGCTTGTGGGTTGCTCAGGAATTTGAAACTCAGCCAGCAGATTCAATGCTTCATCATCAAGTTTGGGATTTTGTCAAATTCTTGTATTGAAACAGCATTGGTTGACATGTATACAAGGTTAGGGAGGATGGCGGATGCAGAAAAAATGTTTCATCAGCGTTCATTAGAGAATGACTACACTGCAATGCTAACATCAATGATTTGTGGGTATGCTCGAAACAAGCAACTTAATGAAGCAATCTCTCTCTTTCACTCTGGTCAATCTGAAGGAGCTATTGTCATGGATGAAGTTGTGTCAACGTCAATACTCTCTCTTTGTGGAAGTATAGGTTTTCATGAGATGGGGAAGCAAATGCATTGCCATGCACTTAAATCAGGTATCATAACTGATACAGGCGTTGGAAACGCAACAGTTAGCATGTACTCCAAGTGCTGGAATATGGACGATGCCGTTCGAGTATTCGACACAATGAACATGCAAGACGTAGTTTCCTGGAATGGTTTGATTTCTGGACATTTGCTTCATAGACAGGGTGATAAAACCTTGGAAATCTGGAAGAAGATGGAGAAAGCAGGAGTAAAACCTGACAATATTACGTTTGTTTTGATTATTTCAGCGTACAAACACACTGAATTAGATTTAGTAGATAGATGTCGTAGCTTATTTTTCTCTATGAAAACTAAGTACAATATCAAACCCACTTCAGAGCATTATGCCTCCTTTATCAGTGTTTTGGGTCGTTGGGGTTATCTCGAAGAAGCTGAAGAAACAATCAGAAGGATACCTTTCGAACCGGGCGTTAATGTCTGGCGCGCTTTGCTTGATAGTTGTAGAATCAACAAAAATGAAAGGCTGGAAAAGGTTGCTGCAAGATGCATACTGGCTGTGGAACCAAAAGATCCATTTACTTACATACTTAAGTCGAATCTATACTCTGCATCAGGGAGATGGCTTTATTCTGAAAAGGTAAGAGAGGATATGCGGGAGAAAGGATTCAGGAAACACCCAAGTCAGAGTTGGATCATCCATGAGAACAGAATTCATTCATTCTATGCCAGAGACAAGTCTCATCCCCAAGTAAAAGACATTTACAGTGGACTAGACATACTAGTCTTAGAATGTTTAAAAGCTGGTTATGTTCCAGACACGAGTTTTGTTCTTCAAGAAGTAGAGGAACACCAAAAGAAGGAATTTTTGTTCTATCACAGTGGGAAATTAGCTGCAACTTTCGGCATTCTACTGACGAGACCGGGACAACCCGTCCGAATCGTGAAGAGTGTTCGTTTGTGTGGGGATTGCCATACCTTCTTGAAATATGTTTCTATTATTACCAGAAGGAAAATATTTGTCAGGGATACTTCAGGATTCCATTGCTTTGCAGATGGCCAATGCTCATGTAAAGATTACTGGTAACTATTTTTTACTTTTGATCATTCTATCATAATCTCATATCTTTAAGCTTAGGTCTCTGGACATTCTCATATCTTTGCATTTGATCAGTATAGCTTGGTTGTGAATCTGCTGGTTTTGTAGTAGTTAGTAAAGGTGAAATTCTGGTTTAATGGGAGATTGCAGAGAGCCAGGGGTTCTTAAATTCTGCATTTCCCAGTCAAAATTTCAGGTTTGCAATTAAGGGTTTTTGTCCATATCAAAAGGGTGTTTAATTGTATGTACTTACAGGTAATCCAACCGTGGCACAGGTCTTAACTCTAATTTTAGAGTCATAATTATGATTATGATTATGATTATGATTAGGAGATAGTTAATAGGAAAATCTACCCTGTGAGGTACCACGAAGAATCACTAGAATCATTCGTGGCAAGCTTTTTGATCAAGATCAGTTCATATTCCCTAAATCAAGCTCCGATTTTATGGATTTCATTCTCTAAAATGAAAATTATCGTCAAACAGTTTATTGTGATGTAAGGATCTCTCGATGTTCTACCAAAATTGGTTTGATTCTTTATCCTATTTTTTTCTTTCAATTTTAGAACAAAAAAATATTTTTAATTTTTGGAAATGAGAATTAAATAAAATATAAGATTTCGAGTTGGGACTATTTCTATTATTGGGTCTGGATCTGTCAATTATAAAATGAGATGTAAAATAAACTCATTTTTATAGAATAAATAATAAATAATAATAAATGGGAAAGGGGCATTATGGTAAGTGCATACATGGCCCGAGGTTGTAAGATTGTGCCAACTCAGCACTCCACCTCACATATTCATTATCCGCTTATCCGTATGATACTTTTATATTTTCATTCTCATTTTCAATCTTTTTTTTTTTTTTTTAATTGAGGGAAATTTAATAATAAATATTACAATTTTTTTTCTTTCCAAATATATATATATATAAGATAAAAATACATAAACCAATTGCATGGGATTGATTAAATCATATTCTGATTCAAATCAATATTTTAAATTTGAACTCGATTCTTGATGTCTCGACATCCTCTTACATTTCTTACGACATGATCGTGCTTAATTTTGCATTTCTTACGACATGGTTGGAGTTCATAGGAAACTAAAAAGGACATCGATTAAAATAACTGAACGTCCCTCCTCTCTATTTATTGGGGAAAATGTATGGTTTTAAATTTTAATATAGTTTTCTGATTCAATATTCATTTTTAAAATTATTAATTTTTTCTTAGACTTAAAACTTTCTTCTAAAACAATTTCAATTATTATCATTCTTCTCCGAGGATATTTTTTATAATTTAAATTTGTTTTTAACAATAATTAGAAAATGATAAGTTTTTATGTATTAAATATTTAGTCGTATAAATGCACTCTTTATTTTGTGTTCTATGGTTCAAATTCTCATTCTCCATTGTCAACCGCTTTATGAACATAAAAGTATTAAATAGATCAAAGATTTATAAGTCTCAAAAAAATTAAAAAAATAAAGTTTATTAGACCATAAATCAAAAATTTAGAAATTTATTATACATACAAAGAATAAATAGACTTTTACTATTCTTATTATGTCAATATGGGATGGTATGACCGTTTACCTAAATCATATCTAGCCCATGAGGTATGTGACTAGTTGTCAATTCTTCCCTCCCGTGTTATGTGCTATCAAAACTATAGTACGTAATTGTTGCTTATTCACTTAACTTATAATATTGATTTATTTCAAATTGTTTTCAACTCATTTTCTCACTCATATTTTCTAAAATATTTCTCTCAAACGTGATTCGAGACTCGATCATGCGTCAAAATTATCCACAAAATTCAATTTCCATACAACCGACTTATTCGTCATATTAATATGAGTGTCACACAATCGTTATCTCACATAGTGATCACATTACCGCCGGGTAGCAATGTCGGTGCGTTTAATACTCTTACTAGTCGCTCAACTAATACAACCACTATTAATCTTCCCATATATATATATATATAATTTAATTATGTACAAGAGGTCATTTATCCATTTATTTTAATAAATTAGATATTATAGAAGGCGAATGAGGGGGGTAGAATGGGAATAATAAGGAAAAATTCGAATGAATTAAGAATAAAGAACAAGAACAGACTGAGGTTGTAATTACTAATGGCAGTGATATTGTATCTATAAATGGCCACTCCCTTTTCCTTTTTATCGACTCTGCAACAACCGGCTTGGCAGCGATGAAGTTGCCGCTTTTTATGATTCCTCTGATCGCTGCTTGTTTTTTTGTCATTTTGGGTCCGCCGTTCTTGTCGGACTGGGTCACTTTCCTTGATCGATATGCTTCATTCCGGAGCTCTCTTTCTTCTTCCTCCTCAGAAATGAATTCTCATTCAAATGTCACGGCGGCGATACCGGTGCCGGTGATGGTGGATAGTCAAACAGTGGAACAACAACAACAACAACGCCAACCTCTGTTTAACCACTCTGTTTCAAATCACTCTGTTCTTGCTTCTTCTTCTCCACCGCCACCACCGATCGACGAAATGCAGATTCTTCCACCGGTCTTTGTTCGATTCTCTTTTAATCTTTAATTCACTTAAACTAAGATGAACCCAGAAAAGCCTCTTTCTGTGATGCATGCATCTTTCAAGATTTTGATTTCTTGTTTTGACTGAAACTGTAATGTACCTGATTTGGCTATGAATAATTATGTAAACAGAATAGGACGAGAGTCCACGAAGAGTTGCTAGAAACCGCCATTAATGAAGTGATCAAGAGAGCTTCTGCTGGAAGTAATTATGAACCGGCGGCGAAAGCCAGAAAACAGAAGAGACATACAAAATTGGAGAGAATCGAAGCGGGGCTAAGAGGAGCAAGAGCCGCCATTAGAGAAGCCATGTTCCAAAACCAAACACAAGATGCCGACTTCGTTCCCTCTGGCCCAATGTATTGGAATGCCAAAGCTTTTCACAGGTCAAATTTGATGGATAGACAGAGAATGTCTCTGTAAATTTGGTTTTTTTCTTGGAGTTTCTTTTAAATTTCGGTTTCTTCTTGGGAATTTTAATTTGTTTGTTCTTCCATTAATGGGAATTTCAGGAGTTACCAAGAAATGGAGAAGGAGCTGAAGATCTTTGTGTACGAAGAAGGAGAGCCTCCCCTGTTTCACCACGGCCCCTGCAAGAACATTTACTCAACGGAAGGGAATTTCATCCATGCCATCGAGATGGACTCCCGGTTTCGAACCAACGACCCCAACAAAGCCCATGTCTTCTTCCTTCCTCTGAGTGTTGTCATGCTCGTTCGGTTCGTCTATGTTCACGACTCCCATGACTTCACTCCACTACGACGCACCGTCGCTGATTATGTCAATGTCATCGGAACCAAATATCCATTCTGGAACCGCACCCTCGGCGCTGATCATTTCATGCTCTCCTGCCACGATTGGGTATGAGTATCACCTCACTTACCACAAATTCATCCAATAAACAGCCCATAATTGATTTGATCACAGGGTCCGGAAGTATCAAAATCAGAACCCCATTTGTACAAGAACTCCATTCGGGTACTGTGCAACGCCAACACATCGGAAGGCTTCAACCCATCAAAGGACGTATCACTCCCGGAAATCAATCTGCAAACGGGTGTGTTGACAGGATTTCTAGGCGGCCCATCTCCCTCGCGCCGCCCAATTCTGGGTTTCTTCGCCGGCGGACTTCACGGCCCAATAAGGCCCATTCTAATACAGCAATGGGAGAACAAGGACCAGGATATTCGAGTCCACCAGTACCTCCCGGAAGGGGTCTCTTACATTGAGATGATGAGGAAGAGCAGGTTCTGCCTCTGCCCCAGCGGCTACGAAGTCGCCAGTCCCAGAATCGTGGAGGCCATTTACACCGGCTGCATTCCGGTCCTCATTTCCGATCACTACGTCCCGCCGTTCAGCGACGTCCTCAATTGGAAATCTTTCTCCGTCGAAGTCTCGGTCGACGACATTCCGAACTTGAAGAAGATCCTGGCCGGAATATCGACGCGGCAGTACCTGAGAATGTACCGGAGAGTGGTCAACGTTAGGAGACACTTCGTAGTCAACTCTCCGCCGAAGAGATTCGATGTTTACCATATGATCCTTCATTCTGTGTGGCTTAGAAGACTCAATCTTGGACTACGGGATCATTGACCGTTAATTTTTGGGTTATAATTTGAATTTGTACACGTATTTACATGTTTTTTTCCTTTAAATTTTTTTAGATTTATGGATTAACTAATTTGATTAAAGGAAGGTTGAATTGAATACGAGTTATCCTTTATTAACAAAAATATCCCTATAAAAAATATTTTAATAATTTGTTAAATTAAAAAAATAAAAAATATGACGGTGTATGCGTGAATTTTATAAATAACACTAACATTTTTAATATTTTTAAAAAAATTAATTTTTTTTTTAATGGAAACTATTTATTTATGGTAAATAATCTTAAACCTTTTTCTAAAAATTTGAGGATATTAATGTTATTATGAAAGTTTATGGTAAATAATCTTAAACGAGGAACTAAAAATTACATCCATTTATCAACGTTAAGAGTATTTTTGAACTTTTAAAAAATAATGAAATTTTTAAAAACTCGATAGTGTTTTTTAAACACTTTTACAAAATTATTAAGTATTTTTTAAACATTCATGTATTTTTATTAATTAGCTTTTTCTTTCCTCTAAAACCTCATATTTTATTTTTAAAATCACTTTTCATATTCAAAATTAGGTTGCCACCTCATATATTTGTCATTGTTGGGGTGTCTAAATTATTATTAGAAATTGTGTTATTAAATTTGGATGGGTATATGAAAAAACATTGTAAATTCTATTGTGAAAATTTAGAATAAATAGATCACAAACTTTAGAATATACACGTATATATCTATATGTATATGTGTTAATACAACAACGGATAATATGGGATGTAAAGTAAAATAATTTATTAATACACTAATAGATCGTTAATAATTCAATAATAAGAAGATGTTTCTGGTATTAAACCAACATAACTGAAAACTTCTTTGTATTAAAACTAACCTAAAATGGCATAAGACCAAAATATAAATTATATAATACAAAAAAGTTTGGGATTTATGTTCCAATTTAAACTGAGCTAATTGTAATGGAATTATCTTTTTCTTATTAAAATTTTAAAAATGATTTGTCACCTCATTTATAATTTAAAAAACATAAATTTGACTTTAAATATCTAACAATAATAAAAATAAAAATAAAAAGTTAGCCTATACCAGTTTAAAGTGGAAGGATACTATTTAGAAATTTTTAAAATTTTTAAGTTGAATTTTAGATATAGTTTAAAGGTATTTTTATTAATTTAAAAAAAAAAAAAAAAAAACATGCTAAATAATTGAAAAACTGACATGTTCAGATATCTTGTCAGAGAACACGTCATGCGTGTAAACAGAAGTAATGGTACGCAATTGGCTACGTGTCGTTACCATGGAGCGCCGTCCTCCACGTGTCTCTTCATTAATTTCAAAAGAAAACGACGCCGTTGAGATTTAAAAAAAATCTTAAAATAGCAGAACATCGGCGACGGCGTCAGAGAAGAAATGGGAGGAGGAGATAGAGGAAGTGGCGGCGGCGAATGGTGAAAAGGAAAGCGTTAACCATTATACCGGTAGAAGAGCTCGACAATTTGGTCACCGGCAAAGATAAAGTGCAAACGCAGCAGAAGGAAGAAGGCGGTCAATTCGAGCGATGAAGTTAACCTTATGAGAATTATTGGGATATTTCAAGATTTACCCTTTTTTTTTTAGTGCCAATAAATCCATATTTTATTATTATTTAAAAAATATTTAAAAAGTGCATTTTGAATCAATAAATATTGGTCAATTTATTTTGTCTGATTCGGACAAGATCGAAGAACAAGGGTTGGGTGGTTGTCCATTCTCCATCCCATCCAAACCAGAAATGTCTGTAATGTCCGGTCGGATCTCTCTGATTAATGAACCTAATATTTATTTATTTATTTTTCTGAATTACCGACATTTATTCCTCTCTCCGGGGCCTCGAGTCTTCATCAATTAATTATCTTATATATATATATATATGTATATATAATATTATTAAAATATAAACTGGTACATTTTCCAGTTGCCAACGTTGAAGGATAGAGGATAAGGATGGTAGAAATTTGTTTTCTTTTTTCTCCTTTACTTTATATTATATAATTCTTTTTAAAATATTATTTCCACAAAATTTGACTTCATTATCTCCGAATAAATAAAACGAGGATAAATTTATTTAAATTAATGAAAAATTTATCCTTATCTAACTATATATATATATATACACAAAAATAGTGAGAATAAATTTAATATTTAAAAGATATATACACAAATATCTTTTTAGATAAATGAAGCACTTTCACTTCCATTTCCACGTGGAAAATCAAATCAAATCAAAATTCTCTTTGATGTCTTTGGTCAATTTTCTGCAAGAAATGACATCATTTCATTCTTAAAAAAAATAATAAAAAAAAATTATGCAATGTTTAGGATTTTAAATCTCTTTTTCTTAAGGTATAATTTAATTGGTGGAGGAAGGGGCTAAAAAGGAAAAAGATAAGATGTTGAGGGGCACAATGCAAATTCTCTAAAAATATATGGCTAAGATCCATATTTAATGCTACACTCCAAAAAGTTTGTTCTTCCCTTTCTTGCTTTGAAATAAGCGTGTCTCCATAGTTTTGTAATGCTACCATTACCAAATATTAGGAATTTGATTATATATTCATTTATTTCACAATAAATAAAAGATATAAATTATTATTATGAATAAAATAACGACCCAAACAAAAGTCGACACTTTTTTACTAAGATTTTTAACATAATTTTATATTTATTTTTAATATTCAAATAATTAGTAAATAATATACACCATTAATTGACCCAAATGAAAAAGTGGCCTAATAGACTTTACTCCCTCGTAGACCAGATATCAGCTCATTTCAACCTTTAATAATTAATTATAAATTATATTCAAACTTAAGTAAGGATTTAAATTGCATATATTTACACATTGCAAACGATTAGATACTAATCATCCAATAATTTCCAAGTCTCATGCATTATTAGGACTTAAAAAATTATACATTTAATTTAATTGATTTTATTTATTAAAAGAAGGTTTATATCAACAAAATTAATTATTTTTCCTTAATCATAAATAGTATTAAATATATATATATTTTACATATAAATGGAATCGAGCTACACATGTTTGCTAAATATTCAAAATGTTAAAATATGTTTATTTATTTCTTTTAAATAAATACACATAGGGAGGTCATCAAGAAACTTTAATAAACTATTAAATTTCTAATTTATAATCTTTATTAATTAAGGATTTTATGACTATATATTTTTATTGCACAGAATATTATAAAAAAAAACATCGATGAATAATTTAAAGAAAAAGAAAACAATAAATACCTTTCCTCATTAATGTCAATAATTTTTTTTTTTGTTGATAATTAACAAAAAAAAAAAAAACATTTATGTGATTTAAAATAATTTAAAAAGAAACGAAAAATATTAATTGCATTTGTTTATTTTCGAAATTGAAAATAAAAGCAAAATATAATTTGTTTTTATGAATTGACATTGATTTTATGTAATCTAAATCCGCGGGAACTTCATCCGTACATCGCATTTATTTAATTTAATTAATTTATTTATTTTTCATGAAGGTGAGAATATTCCATTTTTGTGATTTATTATTATTTTTTTCTCAGAATTAACGTGGACTTGGAATCTTCGAGGCAGCCACATTTATTAAATTTCCGTAATGAATTTGAATTTCTTTTTTTTATTATTATATTTTACTGTAGTTGCTGTATGATTGGTCTTTTTATTTTATTATATAGTTCTATTGTATTGAAATTATGATTTTTTAAAAAGAGAATCAATGATGATATAATTATTTTATACCACTTCAAATTATTGACCCATATTTCACGTGGATTAATATTTATAAATAATTTGTTATCATTTTCATTACGTGTTCATATTACAAAAAATGGATAATCTAATTTTTTTATATTGATTTTGCATTGATGATCTTATTCGACATATACCTTAAAAATTAAATATTAATTTGATTGTTTAAACTATATGAAATTATTTGAATGACTAATAATTGTGAATGGACGTGGCGTACTTGAAAGTTAATTTGAAGGTCTTTCCAAAAATGGGCCTCGTGGAATAATTGGGGGAGGGAAAGAGTGAAAAATAGTTTTTTTTTTTTTTTTTAAATAATTTGAGAGAGATAAATAAAATGACAAAAATGGGTAATTATTAATAAACGTTGGGTCGTAAAACGTAAAAGTCTGGCAGGAGATTGGTAACATCCAATACGTATTCGCCACGTGTTTTCTAAATTTGCAATGGAATTTAATTGCCATTTTCGAATTTGAATATTTTTCTATTTATTTGAACCACAGCCACCACCTCAATCCGCTGAATCCTGAAACCACACCCGCCGGAGACCAACATCGGCGGGATATATATAATATATATATATATTTTTCTTCCGATTTCTCTTTATCTGCCATGGCTACTTCTGGGTTTCTTCTTTACCTTCTTTCTGCCTCTTCCATCGCCATTCTCTCTGCTCTGTACCTCTCTAGCCCTTCTTTTTCTCCTTCTTCCTCGTTCGTCCTCTCCGATTCTCTCTCCACCGACAAAATATGGCCGGTCTGTTCTTCCTTCTTTCCTTTTCCCTTTCCGTCAATGTGCTCGTTCTTAATTTTTCTTTTCTGGTGAAGGATTTGGAGCTGAGTTGGAGGCTTGTGGTGGCGACGGTGATTGGATTTCTCGGCTCCGCCTGCGGAACCGTCGGAGGAGTTGGTGGCGGCGGCATTTTTGTCCCTATGCTTACTTTGATTATTGGGTTCGACACCAAATCTGCTGCTGCCATTTCCAAATGTATTGCTATTTTTCCATTCAATCCAAAACCTCCCCCCAACACATATATATCTAAATTGAAGAATTTTTTTGAAATGGGGTGTGTTTATTTTGCTGCAGGTATGATAATGGGGGCTTCTTCCTCGTCGGTTTGGTATAATTTGAGAGTGGCGCATCCAACGAAGGATGTACCGATTATAGACCACGATTTGGCGTTGCTGTTTCAGCCCATGTTGATGCTTGGAATCACCGTTGGTGTTTCCCTTAGCGTGGTTTTCCCCTATTGGCTCATCACCGTTCTCATCATTAT